TTTGAGTATCGAATGAGCGTAGACGGCAGCTGTTGATGTGATGTGATGTGTGTGTGTGTAGTTTGTTGGAAGTGGTTTCCGTGACACACCAAGTTTCTGAAATATCATCACATAGAAGCACTGACTTGACTGACATTGGTGTTGAAAATCCGGATGTTGTTCACGCTTTGTGCTGAATGCAGTAAATCTCCACACTGATTATTTCAGATTAATGCAGGAAGGCCTGTCTTGCTGTCTTTCCTATCCTGGTTTTGACATCCTCGTCTGTGTCTGTGCCGCCTGTAGTTGAGACGATGCTGTCTAGGTGGTGGGTGAAAGAGACTACTTCTTTTAAGTTTCTCTCATTGGCGGTGATTGTTGTTGTTGGTGGTGGTGGCGTTGTTTCGGCACCGTCATCACCTTTGTCTTCTCTATGTTCACCTGAAGGAAGTCCCGTCTTCCTTCGCTGCCTCACCTCTTCAGTCACCTTGTTAGTTTTCGCCTGTAGATCTTCGAGTTTGTGCGACGAGACATTAGACATAAATCATCATTGGCGAAATCCAAATCGTGTAGGCTCTTTGCATCGGTCCAGTAAGCGTTTGCCCCTCTTCTCACTCCTCATATTTTGCTGCATGATCCAGTCAACCACGATCAGGAAGACGATCGATGATAGTAGGTGGCAACTTTGTCTTATTCCTGTTTTCACTTCAAAGGCATTACTGAGCTTTGCATTTCGAATCACTTGGCATGTGGCGTCTTCATATAGCTGTTAAATGCGGTTGATAAAGACTACCGGCGCTCCGTAGCATTCAAGCAGCTGCCGGAGAAATTACTTCTCGATCGACGCTGTCGTGGGCCTTTTCAAAGTGGATGAAGTTGAGGTCGAGTTGACTCAACTGCCATTCTATACTCTGTTCTATGATGATGATTTTTATCTATCTGAAGAGATTTATGAATTGAGTGATCAAGTAGAAAATTGTTTATAGACTGCACACTGTACGTTGACACCTCAGGTACATCACTAATGAGCTCAACTCAAAGTAAAATCTCAACATTAGCCTTTAGCCATTATTCATAACACGCTAAAGAAATGAATCCAAGTTAATATTCGACTACATTGGTCTAGCCTATCTTTCTATCAGAAAAATTCTCCCCTTTAACAGTTAAACTTTGTTTCCTATTTGATTCTCCGAGGGGTTGTAAGTAGAAGTGTCAATATGTAGTCTGAATTCGGCTTTTCCATACAAACTGTTGTAGAATCACCTAATGAATGAATCAGATAGGAAGAGTGAATCTTGGTTGTATTGTATTCTCTGAGTTGGGTTTTTTAATCGTGAAGCTTTCATCATCTTTCTAGACAGCGACACCGACAGCACTAACTTCAATATGAAGTCAGCTGTCAGTATCTCTCCATGAGTGATTTAGTAGCTTGCCTTGACAAGGCGATCTATGATTAATTGTTTCATTTGATTGTGTCATTGACTATATAGATTTTCCTGTTGACTATCCCTATGCTTGACCTCCCACCTTTCTGTCGTTCAACACTCTCCTCATTGGTTGATAGATTGGGTCTATGTCTATACATCTGTTGATTGCTGACTGACTGAGCTGAATGCCAAGCTTCTAGGAATTCTCTGATATGTTCTGTGTTCCCTCTCTCCATCCAACATTTCTACATTGTCAATATTGAATTCATGTCCATCGTTGTTATCCACCTGCATTGAAATGACTGATGAAATGTCATGTGTGACGTTTAATTGCCATGCAGATGAAGACGAAGAGGGTGACAACTTTGTCCAATGTAGTGTTGACTATACTTATTCCAGTTGATTCTGTAAATGTAATTCGGTTTGTCTGTTCTCTTTGCTTGTTGCATCCTTTGGTCTGCATAATTGTGTTTGGAGGCAATCTGTTGGTTTATGAACCACACCATCTCCAAGTGGTCTCAGCAATCTTATCGTGATTTCTGAAATATCCTTTATGTATGGTAGGATGATGCGTTTGTTGATTTCTGTGGATGACTTTGTAGTTGATGATGTAGGGGATAGGCATCTTGTGATAAAGTTTCGTGGGTAGCTGTTCTTCTCAAGGGTGGACATCAAGTAATTTTCTTCGTTTCTCCATGAAGTTGTTGTACTGCACTGTGTTCTTACTCTTTTGAATAGAGTCTGCACGCAACTGATCTTATGGGTTGTTGCTATTGTAGTTGAGAGAGTATTTGGTCAGTGTGTGTTGGCTTCCTGTACACTTGGGTTTCCAGCTTTCCGGCATTTATCCTACTGACTAGAACATCCAAGAATGGTAGTTGGTTGTTTGACCCCTAGTGCATTGTGAATTTGATGTCACTGAAAACATTGTTGATCAAACTGTGGGTATTTTCTATATCATCTTTTTTTTCTGCTGCTTGTTTGATATAGATACCACAATCTCCTTAATACAGTAACAGTAATCGAAAACCACATATTGAACAATATTACACCACATACTACTTATAAAACATTCTTGTAAGTAGCCTACATTATATGTGGTTTGAGATAGTAACCAAGTAATACATACTCCTTTTATATCTCACCTACCACTTTCAGAACAACGTCTTACATTCCAACTGAACAATTCCATAACACTACTCCTAATAAGCTTGCTTTTCATTTCCTACCCTATCAGCTGAATAAAGACATTTCGAATGAATATGTTGAACAAATATGCTCAGACTAGGCACATCCCCAAGACATCAAACTGAGTCAAATACACATACATAGCCATAAACACATAAACACAATTATGTTTCGATATACTGTTTAGTAAAATGTTTTTCGGAGAACAAGGAAACACAACCGGTTACTTTGAACAAAAACCTTCTAACAAAAGCAGAAACCTTCAACATCATAAAGTTACTGAAATCCAGGAAAGCAGCAGGACCACATGGAATTCCACCACAACCACTGAAATCAGACGCCGCGACAACAGCTGACATGCTCACACCAGTATTAAAGAAGGTTTGCAAGGTTTGGTAGAATGCCAACTCTTTACCTCAAATCCATCGACATCGAAAAAGCATTCGATAGCCTCGGTAGAAATGTAATTTGGCACACACCTGCTTCAACACTATGCCTTCAGGGACAAAAACCTTTATCAACATCACTCAACAACTATATGCTATGCTACATGATCAGGCTACATAACAAGTGATTTACAATGCAAATCTCAGTGGTGTCTTACAAGTGAAGTGAAGTGAAGACAGGGGTAAGACAACATTACCGCCTACTATCAACACGCATCATATTCCTCATTGTTTCGACTCGACTCGACTACATCAAGCAACAAAAACTGTGACAAGCAATAACATCAGCATATCTCGGCTGGAGAGATGAAAACACCCCACAACATGATTACCATTTCTCCAATGACGATCTGCATCCACTCTCTTATGTCGCACAAACTCGAAGATCGACACACGAAAAACAACAAGTTGGCAGAAGAGGTGAGACAGCGAACGAAGACGAGACTCCCTTCAGGTGAACATAAACAGCACAGAGGTGATGGACGTACCCAACGAACAACCGCAACAACAAACACCAATCACCATCAATGGGACAAACTGTAACAAAGTTGTTTCTCTCACCTACCTACCCACCTAGCAGCACATCCTCTCAACTACACGCACCGCTATACATGAGGATATTAATGCCACGATACGAAAAACAGAAAAACACACCTTCATTTATCTCAAATCTGTATACACATCTACTGATCTCAGCACAAACAACAAAATACCAATTCTCAACACTAATTCAGTCAAGTAAGTCACTGCTTCTATATGAACAATCAGAGAACTGTTGCGTTACGAAAAGCATTTCCTACAAACTACACACATACATCACATCACACATCAACATCTGCCGCCTGCATACCCTCACTCCATACTCACACTCGACATCAGATCAGATCAGATGGCCACATTAATAAGAATAAGCAACAACAAACTCACTCTGGCTGGCAGCCAACCAATCAACAACCTATCGCCCAACAACTATGCAGAATAAAGTGGAGATGGATTGGACATATACTGAGAAGACCGTTTGGGGACATCATTTGTGAGGTCCTCGAGTGGAAACGACGAGTTGGGCGTCCCACGGTGACGACATGTTACTGAAGCCCTATGTTCCATTAGTAGCCTAAAAGACAAGTAATTATAGTAATAATTGATTATTTTAACTCTCACTAGGTTAGCGCATTTAGAGTGAAGTGTCTCACAAGGCATTCGTTTAAATGGAAAGTCTACTGACATCTACCCAACAAGCATATTTGTCTAACTGCCCCTGGGTAATCCTAGACCTTATCTAAAGACGATTCGAGCTCAGTATCGCTAGTCAGTAATCTGTGCCAATATCATCATCATCATTATCAACATAGGACTGGGTATTACTACTGTAAAACAGTCCAAATTACCACAAATCTCAAAATAAACAATAACAACTACAAGGCTGAAGTTGAGTGTCTCCAATGGTGTACAATATTCGTTAGACACGACAAAAAAAAAAGAGCAAACATACACCCACATTTTACAAACATCAATGAAAACTATACTGAAATAAAATATTTACAGAATTATTAAATCGAAAAAGACGAATTAAATCGAGGCATTTATCAGTATACAACAGAACTAGGTAGGTAAGTTACTTTAAGAAATTGAATTCTAGACATCAAGAACTTAAGATGTTATTGAATGAGAGACAAAAACAACGTGGAATGATCTGGAGTGACTGTTAAGGTCATTAACTGGAACCTGTACATAACAACAACAACAACAACAAAGGGAAGATAGTTCAGTGAACACACCCGTTTGTTTCAAGACGGCTGAAGATACACACAAATCACAGTAAGCTTAAGGCACAAATTACAATAATAATAATAATAATAATAATAGTGTGAGTAGTAGTAATAATAATCATAATAATGGTAGAGATAACACCGCTGACGAAAACAGAGAAAAATCAATACAGATTATACTGTTAACAGCATCAAGTATCTGAGTCAGGATTAAGTACAATTTCTGAAGGTGATTTCATCAGTAGTCCAGTCTTTTCTAAACCATTTGGAAGAATTTCAACTAGTTTATTGTGTAAATTTCTTTTTCGATGTGTCCATATTGAATGAATTCGACGACCAATACGTGTTTCATATAGAATATCTGGTAGATTTGAAAGAATTTCACGTAGAAATGTAACAGTTGCAAATATTCCACCAGCGATAGCAGCAAGTTTTGCAAGAAATGTACCAAATAATTCACGATCATATTGAATTTTTATAACTAATGGGAAAGTATCATAAATGAAAAAGATTCCAGGTATTCCATGACTACCTTCAGCATGATCGATTGTTCTATTCTAAAATTAATTTTTTTTTTTTTTAAATGGGAAAGAACGATAAACAATGATCAGAATGAGATTTATGAGGAAAAGATAAGGAGGAGGGGAGGGAGGGGGTTCTGGACTAGATTTTCATTGAATACGTTCAACATGTTAAAGTCAACATATGCTCAACGAATACATTTAACTCATTGGTATATATTCTCGATACCAAAAATCACAATTGTGGCTTATTGGTTTACGAAGTTAACTTTCAAGCAATGGTTCACAGGTTACTGGACTTACTGAAGTTTGAGTAATCAGGTAGTATCATTTATTGAAGGTTCTTTACACCAACATACTATCAAAGTGTTAGAGCCTACAGTGAGATGTCGAGTGGTGTTCGTCAAGGGATCACTACACTCTACATTCTTATTCAGTTTTATCCTATCATCGATGTTCTTAACCTCGCCTAGGTAAATAGTTCGCTAGTTACTAGCTAGTCCTAACCCCGGATAAAGAGGGAAGGTTCGGTATACGACTAGCGACCCTACCATGGAAAACCAATCCAATCGCTAAAGAAACTTTATAACACGACGAATCGGTGATTGGAGGCAGTGTGTATAAACACAAGGATAGTTACAAAACGACATGGATTTGATTTCACCAAATGGACACACTAAAAATCAGATCGACTTCATCACAATCTCAAGAAAGTGGAGATGCAGACAACTGGACACAAGATCAAGAAAGGGACCAGATGTCGGTTCACACCACTCACCATCTAGTCCATAGAACCTACCTTCAAAATCAAGTTGAAAGCCTTCACAGAAGTTCGTGATAGACCACAGTTCAAGTTCAACACCCAGAAAAGAAACTGAACTGAAGGACGAAACTATAAATAAAGGACATCTTCACGTCAGTCAACCATCAGGACAAAATGGGAGATATTAAGCAACATCCCTGAGGAAACATACATGGAAGGACACTGAAACTCTTTGAAACAGATGTGGAAAGGAACTTGTATAACCGTATTAGGAAGGAAGAGGAAACAAGACAAGATATGGAATAGATCTCGACGGACACATGGAAGCTGATAGAGGAGGGGAGGATGGTGAAACAGAAGATGAACCAGTGCAGTGCAAGCATGAATAACGAAAAGAGGAACTCACACAACCTATAAAACACTGGATAAAGAAGTGAAGAAGAGTGCGTGGAAAGACAAAAGACACTTCTACGACACACTGGCTAGCGAAGCAGAACAGGCTGCTAGTAGGAGAATCAGAGAAATGACAACATTATATCAGATAACCGGGCTACTATCTGGGAAGAGATCAACGCAGATGAAACCACTGAAAGATAGTGAAGGAAACCTAGTTACCCACAAAGACGAGAAACGAAGAAAACAATAGGCCGACCACTTCAAAAAACTCTTGAATCGACCAACACCACCACGACCTGCAACTCGTCCAGAAATATCACCAGCAACATGAGAACTACCAGTGAACACAAGCCCTCCGACAAAAGCAGAAACCTTGAACATCATAAAGTTACTGAAATCCAGGAAAGCAGCAGGACCACATGGAATTCCACCACAACCACTGAAATCAGACGCACACACACCTGCCGATATCCTCACACCACTATTGCACAAGGTTTGCAACCAAGGAAGGAAAGAAAGGTGCTGGCCGGGTGGAAGACGGACTACCTTGTCAAACTCACAAAGAAAGTTCACCTAAGTCTTTGCAAAAACTGACGAGCGATCATGCTACTACCCCGGTTGGCCACACCAATCCACTAAAATATTAAGCCACATCATCACGAATAAAAAATCATGTGCGTATCAAATTCCAACGCTACGCTACACATCGTTATACAACAGAGCATAGAATGGCAGAATGCCAACTCTTTACCTCAAATCCATCGACATCGAAAAAGCATTCGATAGCCTCGGTAGAAATGTAATTTGGCACACACCTGCTTCAACACTATGCCTTCAGGGACAAAAACCTTTATCAACATCACTCAACAACTATATGCTATGCTACATGATCAGGCTACATAACAAGTGATTGACAATGCAAATCTCAGTGGTGTCTTACAAGTGAAGTGAAGTGAAGACAGGGGTAAGACAACATTACCGCCTACTATCAACACCCATCATATTCCTCATTGTTTCGACTCGACTCGACTACATCAAGCAACAAAAACTGTGACAAGCAATAACATCAGCATATCTCGGCTGGAGAGATGAAAACACCCCACAACATGATTACCATTTCTCCAATGACGATCTGCATCCACTCTCTTATGTCGCACAAACTCGAAGATCGACACACGAAAAACAACAAGTTGGCAGAAGAGGTGAGACAGCGAACGAAGACGAGACTCCCTTCAGGTGAACATAAACAGCACAGAGGTGATGGACATACCCAACGAACAACCGCAACAACAAACACCAATCACCATCAATGGGACAAACTGTAACAAAGTTGTTTCTCTCACCTACCTACCCACCTAGCAGCACATCCTCTCAACTACACGCACCGCTATACATGAGGATATTAATGCCACGATACGAAAAACAGAAAAACACACCTTCATTTATCTCAAATCTGTATACACATCTACTGATCTCAGCACAAACAACAAAATACCAATTCTCAACACTAATTCAGTCAAGTAAGTCACTGCTTCTATATGAACAATCAGAGAACTGTTGCGTTACGAAAAGCATTTCCAACAAACTACACACATACATCACATCACATCACACATCAACATCTGCCGCCTGCCTACCCTCACCCCATACTCACACTCGACATCAGATCAGATCAGATCAGATGGCCACATTAATAAGAATAAGCAATAACAAACTCACTCTGGCTGACAGCCAACCAATCAACAACCTATTGCCCAACAACTATGCAGAATAAAGTGGAGATGGATTCGGCATATACTGAGAAGATTGTTTTGGGGACATCACACATCAGGTTCTAGAGTGGAATGCAAAGGCGAAACGACAAATCGGGCATCTCACCGTTACATGGAGGAGATGGTGTGGGGAAGAAATGAAAGCTAATGGGCAGTCATGGAGCCAGGTTGAAAAGACTGAAGAGAAGAGAGTGAAATATCAACGTGCTACTGACGCCCTGTGTTCCACTTTGGACCGGAAAGACAAGTAATAATAATAATTGATAATGTTCTCAAGGTCATTTAGTAGTGTACATATTCAGCATCGCTGTTAACTGTATTGACCATAGTTGAGACATTAAAGGCTTTCTGTCAACGGTCCGTCTTCTCTTCTTAGTTTTTTGTGTATGTGTGTGGGTGGTATTGTTGTTGTAGCAGCTGGTGTTGTTGGTGTCGTGGCTGATGTTCTGATTCGCATTACAGTCGATTGGTCTGCGCGTTAGATTCGGATTGTTTGTACACTGTTAGATCGCACTACCCATGATAGAAAATGTAAAATTTGTTCTAATGTCAAAATAAGAGACAACACACAAAAAGATGAAATGTCAACAAATGTTACTCGGTTCAACAGAAAAAAATTGACTCAAAGAGAGGATACTACTGGTACTTCACACAACTTCTGACAGTGATATTGATTCAAACTGTTTTAATCGGTTGTCCAGTAGCACTAATTGTAATTATCATTTGTCCCTTGAGTTCATAGTGGAACATAGGGCTTCAGTAGCACCTCCTCCATTCCACTCTCTTCTCTCCAATCTTTTGAACCTCGATCCACGACAGCTCACAAGCTCTCATTTCTTCCTCACACGACCTCCTTCATGTCACCCTCGCCTCGGACGCAAAACTCATCGTTTCCCCCTTCTGACTCCTCCACACAGCCTGGCGCCTCATGTCCTCAGTCGGCCTTCTCAGTGTATGTTCAATGCATCTCCACCTTCCTCTTCTGCATATTTGTTGAGCGATAGGTTGTTGGTTGGTTCGTTGCAAGCCAGCCAGCCAGCCAGTCACAGTTCCTTGTTGCTTACTCTTATTATTCTAGCCATCCGATCTTCAGTGTCAGTAACGAGCCAGCGAGGGCGGCAGTTGTTGATGAATATCTGTAGTTTGTTGGAAATGCTTTCCGTAACGTGCGAAGTCTCTGAACCATACAGAATCACTGACTTGACTGGAATGGTGTTGAAAATCCGAATGTTGTTCACGCTTTATGCTGAGTGGAGTGCAGAAGATCTCCACACTGGTTTCAGGTTGATGCAGGAAAGCCTGTCTTGTTGTCTTTGTGATTCGGGCTGACTTTGACGTCCTCATCTGTGCCGCCGCCACCGCAACCGCCACGGCCACCTGTAATTGAAACGATGCTGCCTCGCCTAGGTAGGTGCAGGTGAGAGAGGCTACTTCCTTTAAGTTTCTCCCGTTGATGTTGATTGGAGCTTGTTGGTGATAGTGGTGTTGTTGGTTGGGTATCTTCATCACCTTTGTCTTCTCTACATTCACTTGGAGTCCCGTTTTCGCTGCACTGCCTTGCCTCTTCTGTCAACTTGTTAGTTTTTGCCTGTAGATCTTCGAGTTTGTGCGACGAGACATTAGACACAAATCGTGATCGGAGAAATCAAAGTCTCATGGGGTCTTTTCATCGGTCCAAGCAGCGTATGCCCCTCTTCTTGCTCCTCACTGTTTGTTTCATGATCCAGTCGACCACAATCAGGAAGATCAAGGGTGATAGTAGATGGTGGCCTTGTCTTACTCCTATCTTCACTTCAAAGGCGTCACTGAGCTTTCCATTGTGGATCACTTAGTATGTAGCATCTTAATATAGCTGTTAAATGAGGTTGATAAAGATTTGTAGCACTCCGTAGTGTTGAAGCAATTGCCAAATTACTTCCCGGTCAACGCTGTCGAAGTCCTTTTCAATGTCGATGAAGTTGAGGTAGAGAGTTGACTGCCATTCTGCGCTCTGTTCTATGATGATGCGTAACGTTGCAGTTTGATCCGCATATGATTTGTAGTTCCTGATTCCAGCCAGCCTGTTCCGGTTATTATTTTGAATCCAGGAGTAACACCAAATTATTAGAAAAAGATGCTGAGATCTACACTTATAGTTGTAGCACATTGACGATTTGCCCATCGATTCAACCAATCAAATACATTTAAGGTTAAGTTAATGTTGTATATCTTGCATAACTATCAAATTTACTTACTTGTATAGTCGCTGCATACTGATATGTTTCCAATACATGAAATGGATATATCATCAATTTAGTTGGTACCATTGTTAAAATGTATTGAAATGAAGTTGTAGCTAGAAATTTAATGGAAAAATAAAACGATCAACCCAAAAAGAAACAATGAAAAAACTGGAAATCAGGATGGATTCTAGCAGAATAATCGAATTTTCAAGATTACTTTGATTGATGTGAATAAATTGCTCAAGATGTTTTTTAGTGGATAGTGATTGTACCAACAACAAGAGGAACAACAAGCACCAATCACCATCAAACGGGACAAACCTAAACAAAGTTGTTTCTCTCACCTACCTACCTAACCACATACCCACCTACCCACCTACGCAGCACATCCTCTCAACTACACGCACCGGTATACATGAGGATATTAATGCCACGATACGAAAAACAGAAAAACAGCAAAACCTTCATTTATCTCAAATCAGTATACACATCTACTGATCTCAGCACAAACAACAAAATACCAATTCTCAACACTAGTTCAGTCAAGTCATTGATTCTATATGAACAATCAGAGAACTGTTGTGTTACGAAAAGCATTTCCTACAAACTACACACATACATCACATCACATCACACATCAACACCTGCCTACCCTCACTCCATACTCACACTCGACATCAGATCAGATCAGATGGCCAGATTAATAAGAATAAGCAACAACGAACTCACTCTGGCTGGCAGCCAACCAATCAACAACCTATCGCCCAATAACTATGCAGAAGAGTAAAGTTGAGATGGGTTGGATTGGACATATACTGAGAAGACCATTTGGGGACATCATACGTCAGGTCCTCGAGTAGAATCCAAAGTGGAAATGAAAAGTCGGGCGTCCGAGGCAAAGATGATATGGAGGAGATCATGTGAGGAAGAAATGAAAGCTAATGGGCAGTCGTAGAGCCAGATTCAAGCGATTGCAGAGAAGAGAGTGAAATGGTGACGTAGTACTGAAGCCTTGTGTTCCACTAGGAACCCAAGGGATAAATAATGAAAGTAATAATAATAATAAACATTGCATAGCTTCCATTTTTGTGCTATTTATATTGGTCTTTGACTAAAAATTACTCTGGAATCTTCTCTTGACTAGCGCACAATAATAATAATAATAATATCGACTGAATTTAACAAAAGTTTTGCGTGGATTTGTGCTAATAATGGAAGATTAAAACAAAACCGAATCGTTTCACACTAACCGAGTGTATGTTGACGCAGATACATAGAGATATTTAGGAACTTCGTCGACTGGTGCCATATCTTGGTCCAACTACCTTGAATTCTCTTTTAACCTAATCCAACCTTACCTAGGATGGTACAGTGAGGTAAGCGATGGCTTGGCATGCGTAGCACATATCCAAGACATTTCAATTGATGAAGTCTTACAACGTTTCTTTCCTAATTGTTCGCCCACTACGCAATAAGTCCCACATTTTAACTGAGAACTAAAGAGATACTACTTGGCTGTCCGCATCTTCATAGGTGCAACGGAGTTGGGAACCAATGACTTATTGGTTGATTAAGAAGCGACTGTCAAGATGAGTGAGCAACAGCGCTGCATCAGTAATCCCAATAATGGTTATCAGCATACTACAAAGTGGCAGTTGAATTACATTTATCTCAGTAATAAAACCATAACATAGTTTTACACACATTTTAACCGCTAACATAAACTGATTCTACGGTATTTCAAGGATGCCATGATTCTTTTACCAAAAGTTTTAAACTAAACTGTAGCTAAACAATAGTCAATCAGTTAGCATCAACGTAAAACGCGGTATTATCGTGCAATGGACCATGCTGCTATACTTGGTATCAGCACATCAAGCAGTAGAAATGACCAAGGTGAGAAATAGACAAATAAGCGAGAAAGTGGATGAAATTAGTAGAAATCTGTGAAAACAGAACATGAATTATTGAGAAAATGATGAAATTCGGTACGATGATCAGGAGAAGGATAATATATGGATACATGTGTGCCACTGACATCGATCCTGAACAGAGTCTCCAACCATTAGCTTTTGTTGTCATGTCGACCCTTACATAGTTCAGATAAACAGACTTCATGCAGTGATGTCATCTCCCTTAACCTTTCCCAGCCTGAACCTACTTCAACTAACATTGTGAGACAAGTTGGATCACTAGGCATACATAACACATGCCGCAGCTATCTCTATCGATGAAGGTACACGACCTTATCATCTGACTTTCCAATTTCACGTGATGGCTTCATGACATATGCGCTATGCTACGAAGGCAACGGCAGTCAAATACATGAAGCTTATCTCCTCATAACCTTTTTATATATTTCATAGATATCGTAAAAACGACAAGACTGAGACTCAGGAAAGAATGTTTATTATTGACAACTTGTACAATAGTGATGAAATATGCTGTACACTTTCCATTAAAATAGTCATTTGCACAATATATTTCATTTCCTCTTCTGCTCCTATCCCGGCTTTGTCTTAATACGCCCACGTTTCTCTCGGCAGAATATTTACCCATCCCTAGTAATTGCTTATGATTTCTGCCACCCTCTCAACATATACTACTTATATCCACCCTTATAAGTAGCACCCACTACACTATTTAGCAGAACACTCTGAAATGAAGTGGAGTATATTCGACCCTCAAAAGACAGTCAAATATCACCACAGTCCTATAAATGGTGTAACTTGGCAAAAATCAATTAACTTTTTGTGTATCTTGTGTAAAGATTTGATCGGTCGAGAGCTTCCAACTGACTCCTCAGTTCGGAAATAATTGCATGTTGACTAATTATTGATGATTACATATTATCTTATTTCCAGTGCATGAAATCGGTCGCTTCCGTTTTATAAACCATGTTATGTTTTAGTCATGTAATTTGATTGTATACAATACAGACTATTCATATTGCAAAAGTAATAAGCGGACAATAAGCATTTACGACTATCACCCATGATATTCCTGATTGTGGTCGACTGGATCATGAAACAAACAGTGAGGAGCAAGAAGAGGGGCATACGCTGCCCGGACCGATGAAAAGACCCCATGAGATCTTGATTTCTCCGATCACGATTCGTGTCTAATGTCTCGTCGCACAAACTCGAAGATCTACAGGCAAAAACTAACAAGTTGACAGAAGAGGCAAGGCAGTACAGCGAAAACGGGACTTCAAGTGAATGTAGAGAAGACAAAGGTGATGAAGATACTCAACCAACAACACCACTACCACCAACAAGCTCCAATCAACATCAACGGGAGAAACTTAAAGGAAGTAGTCTCTCTCACCTACACCTACCTAGTCGAGGCAGTATCGTTTCAATTACAGGTGGCCGTGGCGGTGGCAGTGGCAGTGGCGGCACAGATGAGGACGTCAAAGCCAGCCCGAATCAGAAAGACAGCAAGACAGGCCTTCCTGCATTAACCTGAAACCAGTGTGGAGATCTTCTGCACTCCACTCAGCATAAAGCGTGAACAACATTCGGATTTTCAACACCATTCCAGTCAAGTCAGTGATTCTGTATGGTTCAGAGACTTCGCACGTTACGGAAAGCATTTCCAACAAACTACAGATATTCATCAACAAATGCCGCCTTCGCTGGCTCGTTACTCACACTGAAGATCAGATGGCTAGAATAATAAGAGTAAGCAACAAGGAACTCTGACTGGCTGGCTGGCTGGCTTGCAACGAACCAACCAACAACCTATCGCTCAACAAATATGCAGAAGAGGAAGGTGGAGATGCATTGAACATACACTGAGAAGGCCGACTGAGGACATGAGGCGCCAGGCTGTGTGGAGGAGTCAGAAGGGGGAAACGATGAGTTTTGCATCCGAGGCGAGGGTGACATGAAGGAGAACGTGTGAGGAAGAAATGAGAGCTTGTGAGCTGTCGTGGATCGAGGTTCAAAAGATTGGAGAGAAGAGAGTGGAATGGAGGAGGTGCTACTGAAGCCGTATGTTCCACTAGGAACCCAAGGGACAAATTATAATAATAATTAGCATTTAAGCGGTTTGGACGGGGTCAAATTGTCTGACTTATCATGGAGCTGAATTCTGTACACGAGACTTGGTGAGTACATTTGAGACTAATCATGTAAAAAGTCCGCTTTACGAGTCAGTCTGTAGAATCATGTGCTTCAAATAATTACCACTACGTAAAATCATAAAGACTAGTCCATGAGTACCAATCCAACTTCTCAGGTAAGTGAAGTGATCAATGCGCTAAACAATCTTCCTCTGTATTGAGGTGGCGATACAATGTAGACCAGTCTTGGAGCAACAATTTGCATTTAGTTGGAGAGAAATGCATTCTAAACACTTAAACTGTTACTCAACGTATCCAAAAGACTCTGCATCCTCCCGGTGTCTTCACTTAACAGGATTAAGTTATCTGAATACTTTGGGCCTACTAAGGAGACCCGTGTAAACTCAGACGAGAGTGAGACTTCCACAAAATTGACTGGAGATGTTGACGGATACAGCCTACTTGATAATTCATCATATGCTCTAACAGCCCGATCCATGTTCGAATACCACACCTTCAATAAGGTAATGCTCGGTATTCTCTAGATGGTCAGACACTGTCACAACACAGCTTGATCAACTGGCACAATAATTTAGCTAGTTTTGACTCCCAATAAGTATGTCTGTGTTCCGGAAACTAGCGAAAGGGGAATATCTAGTCGATAACATTTGGATATTCAATCTTTAGCAGTTGAGGTGGGAGTTTGAAGTTGTGACTTAGGACGATACGCTTTAGTTCAACTAATAGGGGTGATAAAAAGAAATGAATCACGGAAAACATTCATGGAAGGACAAGATGCTAAAATGAAATTAGAATATCAACATCTAATATGAAGCCAATGGGTTGTTTCGGCAACATGTTTAATTCAGTTTTCCCTGGCGGCAAAGATGAGGATATCGAAGCCAGCATCGGAAAGACGGCAAGACAGGCCTGCTTAAATTAGTCTCAAATAATCAGTGTGTAGATCTACTCCACTTCACTCAACATAAAGCGTCAACAACAACCGGATTTCCAACACTAACTCAGTCAAGTAAGTCACTGCTTCCATGTGATGGTTCAGAGACTTGGCGGCGCGTCATGAAAAGCATTTCCAACGAACTACACACATACATCACATCACATCACACATCAACACCTGCCGCCTGCCTACCCTCACTCCATACTCACACTCGACATCAGATCAGATCAGACAGCCACATTAGTAAGAATAAGCAACAACAAACTCACTCTGGCTGGCAGCCAACCAACCAACAACCCATCGTCTAATAAATATGCAGAAGAGTAAAGTTGAGACGGGTTGGATTGGATTGGATATATATTGAGAAGACGGTTTGAAGACATCACGGATCAGGTCAGGCAAGGTCATCGAGTGGAAGGCAAATGGGAAACAATGAGCTGGGCGTCCAACGGTAACAACATCTAGGAAATCATGTGAGGAAGAAATGAAAGCTAATGGGCAGTCGTGGAGTCAGGTTCAAAAGACTGCAGGGAACAGAGTGCAATGAAGGTGTGTTAGTGAAGCCCTATATTCCACTGGGAACCCAAGGAACAAATTATAATGATAATCTATTCTGTATGCTGTTGTAAAGTGTGACCAGGTAATTTCACTCGCCCTCACATAATAGTTATGTGGCAAATCGCCTACTGTACAACATTATTGAGTGCATTTCCCTTTTTTTGGATTTGTATGAAGTCATATACCATATAAAAACTCTCAGTATGATTTATCTTCGTTCAGTGAATTTTTTTTTACTTCTTAGAATTCAATAATGTTAATCTATCCGTGAAGACTTGTAGCCGATGCAGAAGTTATAACAAAGCTCACTGAGGATATTTGACTGCAATAGGTTCAAGGTTCCCACCCCGACTCATTTAATTCAACCTGGCATCCGAGTAGTATCATAGGCTTTCAGAAATGAAGTTTAACTCACAGCTTGATACACAGACATCTATGTATTGAAAAAAAAATTTTACTACAAAATACATCAGAACTCACCACTGTCAGTGATTGCTTCAATTGCCTCTAACGGATCGATTTGAGCTTTTCTACGCTCTCCAAATGAGAAATGATATATACGATGACTGAAATTACGAGCTATGAGCACATAAAGATGTAGAAAAAGAAAGTGTAAACTATGTGATAGGAGTTAAAATTAGGTAAACATATTAGATACCATGTGAATAGTCAAGTAATCATTTAGAAAAACGGTACATTATGGTGGCTTCTTTGACCAGAATCACATAAATATCCACCTGTTGATACACATCAACAGACAACTATCACCATTCATTGCAAAACACATAATCGATAAATATTACAAGTAAATTTTGAGGGAGTTGTGGAGATTTGGAATTATTTCAAGTTGTTATCGTAGACTGACATCAGTTGGAGGAACAAAGGAAACCTGGGAGCACTGGACAGCTGTTTCGTCCTAGTATGGGACTCCTCAGCAGTGAGCACCCTCGACCCCACCAGCAGGGATCGAATCCGCGACCTTCAGGTTCCGCGGCCAACGCGTTACCATTGAGCCACTGGGTCAGAATCCAATGCTCCATATTTCCAACTTCTGTTAGCTCACGATATATAGCGCTAACCGCCACCCAATGTCAACGCTGAGTATCTGTGCTCATGGCCATCAGGCTTTGACTCCACCGGTTTCTTTTGTTCCTCCAACTGATGTCAGTCTACGATAACAACTTGAAATATTACAAGATTGACATTGTATAAAAACTTTTCGGAGGGTGTATACTCAATTTTGTTGAAGCGCTAGTCATACACACAAATCTAAGCCTTCGTTCACCCTTACCCTAAAAACCTACCCTGGTAACGCCTATCTTATCGTATTACCAAGGTGATGTTCAAATCGTTTCATTTTCGCTTCATTACCTTCCTCCCCTACTCACCTTTACGTGGTGGTTAAGCCTGCGTATCATAATGACCCGACTAGCTATAATGGCTTAAATGCTTGTTCCCCTCAAAGTCCTACTATGCCAAAAAGGTTAGTTGAATAGCCGTAAGACGAAAAACAGTTACTGTTGTAGTGTAAATTACTACACTGTGATGAAGTTCCGACAGCGAAGTCGTACTGCTGCTAGCTATGATGTGATAGGAGTAAGGTGCTTCCCTTTGATGACCAGCAAGGTCACGTTGATACTACCTTTCCTATAGGAAGATGGAGTTAAAAAATGTCGGCCCTAAAAATAGTGCATTCCCTTCTACGCCACAGTATATATCGGTGACGGTGATCTAGGACCATAGTAGGGTCTCCACAACGCAAACTAAACCATCAAATTTCTAAAAACGTCGGCATCAACCAAATGTCACACATTAACCCTTGTTTTTCAGGTACGTTAAGAAGACCTGGTCTTCCATAGTGTGGGCAGCTGGGAAGTTTCAACTGCCCTCACAACTCTATCAGCACTCAAATTCCCCCAGATCATCGTCTACCTCCTACATCCTTCACGTCTCTCAGTCAACAACCCTAGATCATTCATTTTTTTCAAGCTCTGTAACTCTTGACAATCATGTGAGTTCATAGAACAGGCCCCTTGGTCTTACGAAACTGCACTTTAGACTGCACAATGGAACTTTCAGTATCCATACCCTCTGTAAAGTAGGACAAGAAGCATCAATTGCCAAAACTCGGGACATAGATGTGTGTCGTGTTTGTGAGGCACACACACACACAAGACCCAAATGTGATTCTTCACTAAGCCTCCATTCAACTAACATTTATCTTAGTCCACTGCCATGGTGAGTTTCCCGACCCCGTGACCACATTATAAATGGTCGATAGAACTCGGTCGGTACTTAGGTATAGATAACACAAACTCGGTTACCCTCGAATGACCAACACATGTACCTAATCCCGTCCTGCGAGGTGTTAATCGCCACCAGAATAGTTCAGTGGTAGCGTCTGTGACTGCAATACTAGGTGACGCGGGTTCGAATCTCAGGCGGGATATCAGTTCCACTCAGACTGAAAATAAGCCTTGCTAAAAAGCACGAAATCGAGGTCCAGAGCTTCCTGTCGATTACCTCCATCCAACTAACCTCACCTAGTCAGCCTGATGAATCCGCAAACTTCACCAGAGTAAATGGTGGTCTTGAAGGTGTAGATACAGTATAAATTCTCAAGCCAGAAAGCCCACTGCTCCAATGGATCCCAGTTAGAGGAAGTAGACTAAGGCTGGAAAAAGGTAATATATGACCAAACTAATACTGCCATCTTTGAACACGATCACGGAGGAACATTTCAAATATTCCCCTAAACTGGCGCATCCATCCACGGGAGATGGCAGTAACTTGACTTAAAGTTTTTCCGAATCTGATTTACATTTTCACAACTTTCTTTACTTAATCTCCCATAGCTACTCACTATCTGTTATGATTTATATCTAATTGTAATTAACAATCCCAGATAACTGTTAAGAATCTATGTAACCAGTTGATGGGTATGGGGTTAGGATTGGCGGAAAAGAGGAATGAAATCCACTCAGTAATCATGTACAAATCCATGCAGTAGGCAGTGAACCACACCTGTTGTATGAGGGCTAATGATACTACTAACTGGCTGCTCAAACCTCGACAGATAATAAAGGCGTGTTCGAACCCGTGACTTAAGCCAACTCTTTAAACCAATGAGTCAGACAACTAGAAAGACGACAGCTGATTGGTCAATGTTTTCCCCATGCAAAATATGGACTAAATATTCATTCTTAACCTTTGTCAAAGGTTGCGTGATTGACATTCGATTTGTCTAATGTTAACCAGTGTCTGAGAAGACAATTTATCATTACTTAACTTGAGAATTAATTGGTTCAGTAGAATAGTCATATAAACAGTTAGGTTTCTTCTTTTTCTGGAATTTCATCTTCCAGTGGTGTGGTGACAGTATTCCAGTGACCAGTAATCATTGTCTTATACTGAAGTGTTGTATATGTACAACGTCACTTCTTAATTCGTAACCCATCAGTTAGGATAGATAAAAGTCATTCAAGTATTATTGTGTGACTTCAGTGTGTTTGTTTCCAAGTATGAAATATAGTCCTTAAAGGTACAGCCCAATGAGACAAACAAGTAGCCACAGAATCAACGTAGAATCTCACACAAAAATGCATCACTTCAAGTTCTCACACTGTACAGTACTATAAAAAGAACAAGTGGATAGAACAAGAGTAATATCAAAGTGGAGAAAGTTGTGTGAGAGAATAAACTATCTCTGAAGATAAAGCTTGGAGCAAATATTTAAGCCTTAAAAGACGTCAAGGAGTGAATATATGTGCGGCACCATTGTGATCGATTTTCAACCATGTCACTACCAAGGGTTTTCAATGACTGATTCATCTATCGTCTCAGGGATCCCAGACACGCAGTGTACATATCCCAACACGGCTTAGGCCAGCAATCAGATTCTTCATCTGATGGTGCCACATCTCCCAACCTAATCCAGCTTTTCTAAGCATGGCACATCAAGGTAGGCGGTGACTCAGCATGCCTAACACATGCTCAAGCTAATCCAGTCGATGAAGGTTGATAAACCCACCGATCAACTTGTCTAGTACGCTTCGCCTGACTTCAATGTTGTTCAGATGGTGATTCCACAAAATGAAGACACCTATAATCAAAACCTTCTAATCGCTTTGCCTTCTACTTCTACAGCTCATCTTTCACAACTGTATAAGAGGATAGAGAGAACTGCAGCGTAGTATACTCGTCCTTTGATAGATAGTCGGATGTCTCACCAGTCAGCTTCAGAGATGACGAAAGTTGGCAACTGCTAAATGGACCTTCTTTATGCAAGCTGAAGTAAGGAAAGTGAAGAAAAACAATTGCCATAGTTTGGAAAACTACTATTTATACTGGGTGGTGATTGAAGGCGAGATGAAAACCTGGACCGCAGCCGGATTCGAACCAGCGACCACCGGGTTACCAGCCCGGTGCTCTACCAACTGAGCGTTACTACCGCTTCATCGTATTCACCGGTGGTCGCTGGTTTGAATCCGGCAGCGGTCCAGATTTTCATCTCACCTTCAACCACTACCCAGTTCAAATACTAGTCTGCCAAACTACGGCTATCTTAGATAGTCAAATCATACACACATGTGTGTTTACTTACATATATCCCCGTAAAAACTAAGTAAATAAGAACTTGTTGGTACTACCGAAGATTTAGAGGACAACCACGATGGGAAGAATATTTATTGTGAAAAATTGGAACGGTAGTCGCTGCATATGGTACACCGTGCACTAACCCAGTCATTTGCAGATGTGCTTCGTTTCCTCTTCTGTTCCTCTCTTGATTTGCTCTTGATCTGCTCTTCATAAATTCTTATCAGCAGCATCCACTGTAACACGCCTGCGTTATCCTTTGCATTGCTCTTGGCAGAAACTTTATCCATTGCCGGTGATTCCCTATGATTCCTGTCACCCTCTCAATATATACTACTTATATTCATTGTTATCAGCAACGCCCACTACACTACTACTCCTAGTTGTTATTTTCATTGAAAAACGTTTAAGAAAGTATATTCTAATTTTCAGACAAATAGCAACATATCACAAGGTTTTTCGCTACTAATAAACAAGATAATGGTCAACACAGTTGATGTTTATATCTGCATAAATAAAGTAACCGATCATCTAATACATCACAGGAGTTCACGTTGACAATCGTCTAAAGCATAATGGGAATACAACTTTTATGGATAATTTCGATGTAATCAGTTAGTGAGGAATGAGATGAGGTGAAGTATATAAGAAAATCTCACTATCATTCCCTTTTAATTATTTCATCTTCATCATCATCAATGTCAACATAGGACCAGGCATTATCAAGTAACGGTCCCACTTGCCACACCTCATATCATTACATCAAGTAAAAAGGTAGTGAGGTGAAAGATGAAGATAAGAGAATGCAGTCAAAAGAAATATAAAGTACTAAAGGAGAGAAAGGAAGAATGAGAAAATGGTGAGAATCGGTATAATGTTAAGATGAGGATAATGTGTGTGTGTGTGTGTGTGTGTCTGTATACATCTGTGCCACTGACATCGATTCTCAGCCATGTGATCACCTAGAGTCAGTCTCCAATCAC